GTATTTTAAGGAGAGTAAGGACGCTGGTCACCCTTAGTGGTTTATGGGAAAAAGGGGTAAGTTTCTAATGAAACTGTGGTGTTGTGTTGGTAGCGGTGGTGCTGGCGGGGGGAGGTAAAACAAGGTAATTTGGTTTTATCAAGTCAGTTGATAATGTAAATGGGCCACTGTAAAGGGTGGGGGAAGGTATTTTAAGGAGAGTAAGGACGCTGGTCACCCTTAGTGGTTTATGGGAAAAAGGGGTAAGTTTCTAATGAAACTGTGGTGTTGTGTTGGTAGCGGTGGTGCTGGCGGGGGGAGGTAAAACAAGGTAATTTGGTTTTATCAAGTCAGTTGATAATGTAAATGGGCCACTGTAAAGGGTTGTTAAAGCTGACGTTTCTAACGTTAGTCCCTCGTCCGAGACCTTTTTTGCCCAGGGGGGAAAAGGGAGGGGCATTTGGAGTAATGGGATATAGTTTTCGAATCAGTGAGTTCTGGAGTTTTTGGGAACGTGTTCGCCCGACAGAAAGTCGTACAGACAGATATTGGGGGCGTTCAGAATGACGGAGAAAAGGTTCCAATTTAGTTAGATTTACTGAAATCAGTAGATCAAGTAAAAAGGTTTTGTAAGAGAAAAGATGATCTGGAATTCCTGAGGTCACTGATCAATGGTTACATTTCTTTTACACCAGATAGACAACTTGTATGGAATGTTGGATCACTTTTATGCAAAGTTTGACAAGGCGTATTATTCCGGGCTGTGTAAAGCTCTAGCAGTTGGTGAGTTTATATAAATATATCATGGGGAAAGATAAGTTTCTTGGGGTTTGTGAACGAAATATCGTGGTAAATTCCTACTGGCAGCGGGATTAAACCTCGGTCCACTTTTAATTTGTTTTTTTGTATTGGTTTACTTGATACCGTTAGAAAATATTGGACAGTTGCTGAAAATGAGCGAGAATTGGTTAAGCATATATTTTGGATAACTAGCATAGTGAAGGCTTTTTTAAAGACATTTAGAACCGTATTCTGTGCTTTTACGGCTCCTGCCCTTTGAAGGAAATTGTTTCTGATGGCCTTGAAAATAAATCGTAGAATATGTTCGCCATGAACTTCAGTATATTAGAGTTTCGTTTATTTTGAATGAAATGCCACAACATTGAACTTGTAACAAAGAGTATGCGAAGACGTACTGGGGGAGGGGGAGTTCAATAGACATAAGCTAGCCATTTCTTGTTATTACGGTAAACTGATTGTTAATTTTTAACTTATCGAGGATACAAGCTGTTCTGTAAACTCTGTATCAGTTGTAATGCCAAGGAGATCTATGAATCTCCAGTTACGCGGCCCTTTTAACGCGCTTGTAAACATCAAACCAATTGCTACGGTAGGCTCTCAGATTTCGTGACCATGTGAATTAATTATCATATGGTTTTCCAACAACTTCTCTCATCTCACAAGTTATTTTCTTTGGATGTGCGATACAGGTGCAGCTGAAGATAAAGACCCTCTTTGTCAGCATCTGTTCTTCAAAGGTGGTGAACTTTTAGGCAGACATGTGAAAGCTGTTATCCAGCACATGGATAAGGTAACTTAGTTTTCGTTGAAAATTCCTGGTTAAGTAGGTAGACACCACGTAACACCGAGTGGATAGAAAATTAGACTATGTTGAAGCTTTCTCTAGTGTTAGTGATCAGTCGGGTGATTGTCCTGAAAAGGTATGTTGCCTTTGGAAGCGTTTCCTAAATTTCATAACTGACGTGACACTAGGCTGGTTCCTCGACCGGGTCAAACATCTCCGCATGTGTGAAAGTTGTAATGGTTAGGTAGCGTACTATCAGGCTGCAAGAACCACGTTGTCTCTTATGGATTACCAACAACCACACAAGCCATTTACTCGCGGTGTTTTAAACGCGATGACTTTTTCGAAAAAGCTCAAAACAAAATATTACATAAACGGAATGCCCCTAATTAAATAAACTTTGTGTTCGAAAAGTTTTCCTTTTTTCCTACTTTTGCTTCCCTTAACCGGTTTCTACCAAAATTTCAGATTTATCCGCATTTTGAGCGTTGTAATGGTTGTCTCTTCTGTCTTTCTATGAAATTTTGCGCGGGAAATTGGCCCGCGGCCGGCAGAGATTGATCTTCTTGAGCATGCTCAACATTTTACCGCTGGGTAGATTGACGTTTCCTTACATATCACTGTTGGAAAAATAAAAATGTGGAAAAAAAATGTGGGAGGGCATCAACAGCCTTTTAGGCCGGAAAAACAAAGCTCACAAAGATATGATCTCTCTAAAATGCCCGAGTAGCAATCTAGTGTCACAAAATCCCTCTGAGTTTCCTGACATAATGAATGAATATTTTTCTTCAATAGGGCATAACTTGGCTTCCAAAGTGCCAAATTCACCAGAGCAATTTACTGATTATCCACCAAAGTTAAACTATGCTAGTTCATTCTTTTTTAACCCTGTATCTCCTTCTGAAATTGATTCTGAAATAATGACTATTCGACTAAAAAAGGCACACTGGCTGTATTCATTTCCCACTCGCAGTTTAAAATGGGCTTAACATATTATTAATATTATTATATTATTAGGCAACCTCTATCTCTGCTCATCAATAAATCAATTGAATTTGCAACCTAACCCATCTAAATTAAATATTCGCTCCGACGAAGGGCTAACGCTCGAAATGTCAGCTTTTGTAATCGTTACGGTGGCCAATTTACCATTTCAACTTTGTTGATGTATCCAAATTATTTCATTACTCCCACCGACGCAGCCCCAAACAGTTTCTTTCGAAACTATCAGCCTTTATTCATCTAAATTAGAGCTTCCCAAAGTAATTCCAATTTACCAAAGTGGTGGTGAATCTGACCTCTCGGACTATAGACCCATATCGCTTCTCTCTATCTTTAACCGTATCTTCGAAAAGATTATGTATAATCGCCTCAAGCCATTTATTGAGAAGTTCGCTTTTATAGACATAATTAATGAAATTGAAGCTAACATGGATACAAAGTTGTACTTATGTGGTGTGTTTATTGACTTGCAAAAAACCTTTGACACAGTTAATCCTTCAATATTGTTAAGAAAATTGAGTCATTATGGAGTGCGTGGAGTAATTAATGATTCGTTTGCATCGTACCTAGTGGGTCGTCAACAAACAACACAAATTGGTCCTAAAAACACATCCCAAAAAGAAGTAGTGTTATCAGGTGTCCCACTGGGATCTCTCATAGGACCTTGCTATTCCTTATCTATATAAGTGAATATAAGTGATATATCTAACAGCTCTGATAAATTAAAGTTCTACTTATTTGCTGATGATACCAATTTGTTATATGCTGACAAAAATCTCAAATCGCTTCAATCTACAGTTAAGGCAGAAATTTTTAGGGTTTATAACTGGCTGATCGCAAATAAATTGTCACGAAATATAAAGAAATCTAACTTTGTCATTTTTAGACCAAGACAAAAAAAAGTTAAATCACCAATTCAACTTGAAAGTGCTTGACCATCATAACAACTCCTACATTTCTTTGAAATGCAAAAATTATGTCAAATATCTAGGTGTGCTTATTGATGAAAACCTTTCTTGGAAATACCATATCGCCCACATCGCTTCAAAAATAAGTAAAACAAATTGGCATTCTTGCCAGCCTTGGACACTTTGTACCCCTGAATACTTTTACACCACCTATACATATCTCTTATTCAGCCCTATATATTTTATGACATAGTCGCTTGTGGCCAAGCTGCTAAAACTTACAAAAACAAAATTCTTTTTCTTCAAAAACACGCTCACCGCCTCATGTTCTTTGGTGACTACTATTCTCATGCAGTGCCTTATTTAATCTCCTCTAACTTTCTTCCCTTAGATCTACTCTACTTGAAATCTGTTGCTATTCTAATGCATCATGCATCTAACAGCTTAACACCTACTAACATATCTAACTTGTTTGCTTCCCAATCTAATATTCATTCATTTCGAACAAGATCATCTTCAAGAGGTGACTATCATGTTAAACACTCAAGGCTAGACAAACAAACTAAGTCTTTTTATGGTGTAAAAATCTGGAATTGTTTACCTAAGTCTTTTTATGGTGTAAAAATCTGGAATAGTTTACCTAAGTCTTTTTATGGTGTAAAAATCTGGAATAGTTTACCGCGTGAAATGCGTCAAATGTCCAAAAATAACTTTAAAATCAATGTCCACGACACTTTGCTCCGAATACTTTCAGAAGAAAATGGTTCTATTGATTTACCCGACTTAATAACAAAAATTTCCCGAAATCTCGGCTTCTTGTATTTGCAATGCAAACATAATTAAATTGAATTTATTTTTATTGATTTGTTTATTTATTTAACATTTTTTTAAACTCTTTTTCTCTAGTCCTGCTTGTGAGCCATTTGTATTGGTATATATATATATCTAACATACGCCTCGACTAGCTAATCTGCTAACTGCGGGCTGTGGATATTGCTTTCTGTAATATTTGCTATAATTAATAAAGTTGAAAGTTGTTGGAACAATTTTAGGCCCTGTTTACAAGCAAGGAGGGTAACCCTTGTGCTAGGGTTACCCTAGCAGGCGGGTCAAAGATAGCCCGGGTTTACAAGCAGAATTTCACAGGTAGGATTACCCTACCACCCGGGACAGCTTACCTATGCTTGGCAACCGCACGCATTGTTATCAATGTTCAAGGGGCCTGGAAACAAGTAAAAAGTTGTCCTGGGTAGGCGAGTTATCCCCAGCAGAGCGTTTACAAGGCAGCTAGGGTTACCCTGGCGCTAGGGTAACCCTAGCGCTCAGCTAGGGTTACCCTAGTGCTAGGGTAACCCTAGCTGCCTTGTAAACACGTCGATGAAAAAAAGAAGAAATGTGGGAGCGTTAGGGTAACCCTAGCACTAGGGTTACCCTACCTACTTGTAAACAGGGCCTTAGGCGCTTCGCTCCTCCACAACGAACCAAAAGAGGTTGAAGATATACAGAGGGTTCACATAGCACATGTTTCATTTGATTCATAGGAATGTCAAGAAACTCTTTTAAATAGTAGCAAGGGGCTGCAGATAATTTGTGTTGGTGCTGTCTGGCAAAGCTGGAATCTTCTTAAAGATGGTGAGGATAATAAATTCCATTGGTGCATTTTAATCCTAAGAGTCATCATTACTTTATCCGGCTCTCCCAAGTATTTTGGTACATTGTCAAAGAGAAACTGAATTAGAATTATGAAAAAATTCTCAAATAGGGGATATTTTTTGGATTCAACACTAGATTTTGAGCCAACCGTGCAAGGGAATGCATTGTTGTAGAGTAAATTCCCAAGACTTGTTAGATAGAGGTTATTCGATGAATATAATACTTTCATACGCTCTTTCGGGTGTTTATGGTCTGTAAATTTTGCCAAAAACAATTGTTTACCCATGGTGGTACGAAGATTTCTCTAAGAAAACTTGTGAAAATTTATACGATTTCTTTTCCTCTTTCTTTCCCTGTAGGCTTTTTAACTGGCATTAGTTGCTCTCTAAGCAACACCGCTGTCCAAGTGAAACGCTTCTCGCTCGTAAAGCTCCGCGAGAGTTCTGCTATTGGTGCAGCTGCGCTAGGCGCCAAAACCGCTGACTATACTCTTCCCATAGATTATGACTCCATGGTAGAGGAATTCTTCAGCCACGAATTTTAATGCTTTAAAATTCTAAATAGCTTACTCATGTTAAAAAAATCAAAATACTATGATAGGTAGCGGGAAATTTATCATCAGGATGAAGTGACAGGGATATAATGTAGCTATATCAGTACCATTGTAATTATCGTTTCAGAACATGATCGGTGAAGTGATTTCTAATTGAATTGCTAGTTGAAAGCATTTGACCAATCAACAAACGTGAAGGCCACGATTAACCAATCAGGACTTGTAGGTTAGTGCACGTTACCGTGAAATTCGCGGGAAAATGAGTCAGAGTGTTCATGTGGTTTCCATTGTTTAAGAAATTGTCAGGGAAAGCTTTGAAAATTTCCTAAATACTGCGAAATATGGAAAAGAAATAGATACAGGTGGCTTCATTATGTTTTCCATTCGTATATCTATGTCTGTGTTCCTGGCGTTGGTTGAAGGCCATCAGGGAAGTTGAAACTTGTGGCTTTTTGCATCCGGTAAAGCGCAATAGTTGCTATCCTTATTTCAGTTTTTTTTCGTAGACAGTACTCAATTTTCGAAGCTTTCTCGTAAATTTTCTCATACGAATGATAAAGCAAATATACATATTGTGTGGGCCGCCGCAGATGGCGCGAGGGTCAAAAAACGGATCACATAGCCAGATACGTTGATAATTCCTTTTTTCTTACTAACACTCTTATTGCTTCGACTCGTTATCGTACATGAAAAAAATGGAAGGTGGTAACATTTTGTAAAAGGAATCCGTACTAAATAGATAATATAATATGTATTTTAACAAATCTCTGTGTTTTCGTGTGATTTTCTTTATGTTTTTTTTAGTGTTATTGGTTTGCTTTTCATGACCAGCCCACTCTTTGTGACCTTTCGGGCTAGGTAACTGCATTTGATAAGACTGATGAAAAGGCTATCCTTTATTGCTCTCCACAATTTCAAACTGGTGAAATAAAAATGTTGCACGTCTGCTTTGAAGGGCAGCAAATGACGTTGTTGACAGCGAGCATATTGTTTTAAATTGTTGCCCTATTACAGTGTATATTCAAATAGTATGGTCTAAAGAAAAAAAATAATCGTAGGTAATTCCTTCTGCAACTAGTTTCCAAGAAGCTCTTAATTATTATTTACTGTCCGTCGTAGTCCTTGCACAGGCAAAACTTTCGTAAATCTGGTCTCTTTTCAAGAATGCACCTTGGCTGTTCGCCATACAAGTTAATCCTACTTACATCGCCAGTAACTCGGTATTCACCGTCCAGTGCATTCACAGATGCTTCGTATAACCCGTTCCCTGGGACAGTCTGTATCTGTACCTGATATAAGCATTCACTAACTGTGACATCTCCTCTTGAGAACATTGGCTTTCTACCGTGCACGTCGTAAGAGCCCAGGAATTGGGCGATTTTAATATTTGGTAGTTTTTGATAGGCTGATAAAACTTTCTCTATCTCCAGACGCGAACACAGGCTTAAACTCAAAGGGTCAGACGCCGTTAAGTTGTTCACGTGATCAACGACCGCCTGAGCTGCACGTTGCACGTGCATTACACTCGTGTCGATTTCTTTCCACTGAATACATGGGCAGTAATGTTCGGCAACTCCAGCTCTTTTGCAGTCACGTGACCGATCAATAGTGGTGAGCAAACTCTTTCCTCTTGTTAAATTAGCGGGCGCCTGGGGATAGCTAAGAATGTGTTTAAAGGTGGCATATAAATCGAAAGGTGACGTTACTATGTCACTGTTTTCTTTCAAGTTGTGGATCAGTTCTGGATACTGCTGGAGAAACCAACGTGGAAATGTCAAAGACATAATAGGAAGGCGTTCTTCCAGCTTGCCTTGAAATGTAGCCCTTGTGTCGCCATATCGAAAGCCATGATCTGACATCACAACCAGCAAAGTGTCGTTTAAAAAATTCCCTTCAGATAAATCCCTCAGCAAGGCCGAGAAATCATCAGCGCAGTGATAAATAGATTTCAAATTATTGTGTGAAATGTCTGTGAGGAAAAACAAACCAAACTTGGGTCGCTCTCTGTAGGCCTTAAAGAAGGACCTCAGGTAATCAAAATGAATCCTGTGCTGTTTTTTACTGTGAATACAATGCGCCGATGTCACGTGGGCTGCTTCCCAAAAGAAACGTGAGAAATGATCGGTAGGGGGCTCTGTGAAGCCATGAAGTCGATAGTTAAATGCCCCGTACGCCGGACAATCCTCACTAAACAATGTTGCGTAACCCTTTTCTTTGAAGTCCTTAAATATATGCGGCCAGCGGTCTAGAGATGCAGTATCCGGGAGCTGCCTTCGGGCTTCAGGAAGCTCTGATTCAAATTTACCTTCAGTGGACGTAACATGATACATGGAGTTAAAGTAATCGGTATAAGAATGACTAATCATAACTAAAAGAATTCTCAGACGTGATTGGTCGGCTAATATTCTTTGGAGCATAAACTGCGGTTAAGATTATCTTTTAGCTGTTTGTGCCCATTTTATCTTCGTACCTGTCATTAGTGCTGTTAGCGCAGGCGTAGTTCCATCACCGACGATCGAGTAACCTTTGAAAAACAAGGAGTTCAGCTCCTCAGACATAAACTTATATGCCTCAGGTAGAGCTCTTTGGAAGTGAGCCGCTGACAATGAATCAAAACCTATGATTACGACACTCAGTGGAAGGCCTACTTTGCTGATAACATGTTCCAAGGATCTGGGTACGACTTGGGCGTGGTATTCTACGTGTTTCTTGCCATCTGCAGTGCTAAGCTGAACGCGGACGAATTCTAAGCCCAGTTGGAACTTTCGTTCATGTGCTTGAAGACTCACTACATTTCCCGATTCAAATCCCCAGTCTTTGTGATCAGGGCGTAGAATGGGTTGATAACTAAGAGCTGAGATGTTGTCCACTGCAAAGAAGCAACTTCTGTTAGTCAACCCTAAAACTCTACATCTAGCATGTTTATTTTGGATATCTTTCAATTGTGTTCTAAGCTAAAAGGGGGATGGTCAAGTCTTCTTTTCCTAAACCTGTGGCCCTGTTTTCGATGAGGAGAATCACCTCTCCTTCTGAGTGCATTGCATGTCCCTCGCCTCTCCTCTTGAAATTCATACAATTGAAAGTTAATAAGATCCATTTATCCTTCGGGAGAAGGGAGAAGAAAGGCGCCGTTAGTGAAGTGACTTACCAGAGAACAAACACTATTGCGTGGCCAGGCCTCGAACAGCGATCTGGAGTCAGGGTCTCTCTCGCTCTCTCTCTTTCTCTCTGGTCCCTTGAGAGGGCACGAATAAGAGATAAATCTGGACCCCAGTGCATTAACTGCTTCCATTTCACTGCATTCCTTACCTCTACTGGTTTCCTCCGTGAGTTCCAAGATTCCTCCCTCGTAACGTGTCAGCTGGAAGCCTGGGCACTGGATTGGGTTTGGTCGAGAGATAAGCTTTATTATACTTTTGTCATTTGGGTCAAGCTTTGGCAAGTGGCATCCATCAGAAAAGGACTGGAACTGATCCAACGGTAAAGCACAGCTGCCATGTTGCAAAGTTTTACTACTTTGTTCGAAGTCACTCTTTACATAGAGGTCATGTTCAGTGGAAAACACCACTTTATTCGCCAACTCGCTTTTTGGGATGAATTTACCAGATCTCAAGGAATAAACGAAGCCCTTGCAACGGGGACCGTATTTGTTGCAAATAATTTTTGCTTGTTCGGGACTTTCAACCGGAAAACCATGGCAACTTTCATTCGCTTCGCATTTCATGTTCCCACCTGGCATTTCCATTTGTTTCTCCTAAGTAAACATTCAGGTGAGGTTTTAGCCGGAATCCTCGCTTAGAAGAGAGGATCGAGAATTTATGGAAATGATCAGCACATGCTAAAGGAAAGTAACCAAGGAG